GGGTACATGTGCCATGGGGGATGTTCGCACGCACCACTTTGTGACCTCACCAATTTTTAACATTTTTTTGCTGGTCAGCCACTTTGGTGTGTGCGAAAACATCACCCACGGCACTTGTATGGAGGTGACAGCCTGAGGGGTTTTAGAGACCCGACCGTTCTTCCCTCAAAGGGAATAAAACAATGAATTTGGCACGAAGGTTTCTCGAACAAGCAAGCAGCTCTAACACCTCTAATCCCTGCCCCCTCGCCCATACTTGTACCCGAGTATTACTCTCATACGGCATGTTGCTCGGATGCGTTCACTAGGCGGACAACACACTTTCTACACACCTGCCGCCAACAATAGCACACTGTACTAGACTGTGACAGAAAAGGGAGACAAGATGTATACGGGCTGTTGGTGACCAAGGGTCACGGTACGAGTAAATCTAGGCGTTCTCGGGTGCGGTACAGTACTTGACATAAGACCTTTTCTCGGGGATTTGCAATAACCGCTAGGATTCATTTCTGGGACAAGGAATGACGTATCGTATCATACCGGTACCTGTACGTTGGATGGAAATCCTAGAGTGTATCCTATTTCCCGAGGATGGCTAGTGGGATCTAGATCTGCGGTTAATTGTAGAATATTACCTGTGTGGAAGGGATCTACCTTCAGGGAAGATCCTCCCTTTTTCTCTCTAAAACATGATGATACCTGTGGAGAAGGGGTCTGGCCCGTTTGAAATGTCTCACACTCAATACCTTTCCAAGTACCCCCAACCCTCCGGAGCCCATCTCTAGCTTTCTCTTTCCTATCGCTTAGTGACATAAACCGTGATAGGAGTTTACGATATCCCTAGAGGCCCCAAAAGAAATTATTTAGAAACTGCTGCTGTTCTCTTGCTGTGAAGGGGTAGAGTTCTTGGGGTGTTCAAGAGTGTGAGAATTTTACGAAAGCGGCTGTACTTGTATACCGGTATCATATGTTTACTATGACAGCCTGTAGCAGAGCTTCTTGGGCCTTTCGCATCGAGGCTCGTCTCTATTTACTTTTGGGGACACCGTGGGAGCGGGGAGGGAAAGGCGACAGTGCTCGAATCCAGGTAATCAGATGACTCCCCTTCTCTACCTCGACTGGCTGGGTCATTTTTCTGTGAGTGAGCCCATTCCTTTGATGGATGATGTTTGAACTAATCGGAGTAAGATTCCTACCCATTAGAGGGCTAAAATTAAACGAAATTCGATACTGACGAAAGGGTTCCGCAGCTTTTGAGAGCGTCTAATCGCCACGGTTAACCTCGGATCTTTACCAAACGCAGTATGGCCCCGGAGCTCCTGATGTGACCCGACCAGTAGAAAACGTCCGCACGATTGCCAGACTTGAACTATCCCTATCCCTGGAATGTTCTGGGAACAGAAAGGCGACAAATAGAGACGAAGGGATTCGTGCATCACTCTCCGAGTATTGTAGTAGTCACAAAGTCTTCTTTCCTAGTTCTTTTTCTATAGCTTTTTGTCCGGTATATGATACTATTTCAGGAGTCCCTGCGCACTCTATAGCATCCGGTTATTTTGGCACTGTCCCCCATGGTTTGGGAAACCTTAAAACTGAGCGAGGAGGATGCAAGCTCGGGCAGCAGCTCATTTCATTTTAAACTCGCATCTCGTCTAGATCTCAATAGTTTCAATTTATTGAGCCTCTTTTTTTTTTTTTTTGCCAAAGTATAGAGAAGGGACTGGAATAAAAAGTTGTTGAAAGCTTAGTGATTCGAAGTTCGGTATTATTTAAGTTCGAACTTGCCCGGTTAACGAATCCCTTTGTCATCGACAGACCTTGCCGGGGCCTCCGCATACTTTTGGGATAGGTAAGTATGAAATCGAGGCCGCAGTAAATTCGTTGCTATGGATCACGGCGTGGTCAATACACCTTGAACCGTTCGATCTAGGAAGGAATCTCATACCAGTACTGTACTCGGGTGCGGTGCCCCTTCCGCGCCCGTGCTGTGTCACGGCCCAGACTTAAGAACTTATTGAGCAAGTCCCAGTGAGGGAAGCAACGCTGCTCCTGCTGCGAGTTAATTTACCTAACGAGGCCCTGTGGTTGGATAGACCTTTGGCCCATCCACACGAGGATGATGCCGAATTGCGCCTTGAGGAACCTTGAGATAAGGATAGCCGGAAGTGCCCACCGCACCGCAGGAGCTGGCTCGAGTGAGATGCTGGCGCAAAGGGGGCTAGTGGTAAGATTGAGATCAACCAAGGACATAGGAGTCACGTTTATGAAACCCCGTTCGGAGGCTCGAAGGGTTCAGGAAATCCACAAAGACCCACCATAATACCAGTAATCGAATCGACCATCACTGTAGGGACCGTAGGGCGTGAAAACGTGTTTGTTTCCCTTGTACAAATCCGGGGTTCCATGCCGTCAAGGAAGCTAGGTTTCGCTTGATTTGCTAAGGTTGGGTTGTGGCTGATCGCAGAGACGTGCTGTGGACTAGAGAGGGATGAAAGGAATTTTCCTCCCCTCCCTTTCCAAGAAAAGGGACGAACCTGAGAGACAGAGAGAACGAAGACAACCGGAGATAACGAGATACGAAGACAACCCACTACGACAACAAAGTTTGTACCTACGTTTGGGAATTTTTACCTTTGTGATTATCCCTTCTTTTTCTTTGCATTGACTTGATTTGTCCGGACCTCTTTTTGGAATTCTTTTTCCTGTGTCAAGGCTTGATTGCCGGTCTGATTCGTAAGTTAAGTGAGGGAGGCTTGCCTGTTTTGTGTGTTTGGTTTTCCGACTCCGATCGGTCCATTTAGGACCGACTCCGCAGAAGGTAGAAAAAAGAAAAAAAGACAGGTAAAGAATCACAAAAAAAAGCTTGATTAGGATATCTCTCTCTGTCGCCCTCAACACTACTGCCCCATCCATCACGCCATCACCTTCTAGGAACTCGGAGTGTGCACAAAGAACAAAAGTCCTCTTCCTCTCCAATCTCACTTCACCCCCGCAACCAACCAGGCCAGTCGAACCCTCCTGCTTCGGAGGCCGTTTGGTAAATTATCTTTGCATCCCCTCTCCGAGATTCCACCAAGGCGATCATCGCAACACTGCCACCACGTGGTCAATTCATGATACTTGTTGGGCTGGAACGCAAAGGTAGGCGCTGAAATGTCTAGGACACGGGGGGCGGGTTGTTGAGATACTGGTACCGCGCGCCGCTCCTGCAGAGGGTTTCGGACTCGCTATGACCTGGCCAGCACATGCTGGGTAAAAAGATGGAAAGGGAAAAAACCGCCAACCGATCGGACCATCCACTAGGCCTGCTCCTGGTCGATCGAGTTTCTGTAGGGAGAGTCATTTGCTGATCCCTCGAGTTGGATTACTTTAAGGTAAGATTTTGGTATGCTATGCCATGGTTGAAGCCTTGCCGTGTCACACGTAACACCATAAAAAAATTGCCCCACAAGATTGGCAGCAGTGCTTCCAGTTGTCCGGTAGGTCCAAAGGGAGGGAGGACTTGGCGACTGGAAGCACTGGTTGGCAGATTTTTTTTCTTTTTTCCCCTTCGGCCATAGCACCTGGCAATCTGAGTGCATCTGACCTGCAGCACCAGTGTTGCCGACAGATATATCCGTCACGTGAGGTATGATAGCCAAAACAATGCTGTGCTTTTGCTTATCATGTTTCACGTGACAGATACACAGTATATCGGCCGTAATCTACTCGTACTCAATTACAACAACCTCTACTCTCGTACTTGTATTACCGTTAGTCTTTAATAATTCTAATCATTCTGCCCCCATCCTCAACCCCCGGACTATATCGAATTTAATAAATTTACAGTGATGCCCTGTCGCTAAAATGTAAATATTTAGACATGCTTGTATGTCTTGATGCCAAGGTGCCCAAACGCGTTGTGGATTAGAAAGGATTTGTCTTTGTTGCTGTTTTAGAAAATAATGGCCTCCAAGGAATATGCACTTGTACACTCCGCAACCTTTGGTGCAAGGAACACTCCCAAGAGGCCATGGACACTTCTCTTGAGCTTTAGCTTGATAAGAAATGACCTCATTTGGGCCTGCGTCGAAATTTCGTGGCTTAACAGCCCTACCTTCGAGCGTATTCAATGTTTTGGCATCAGGAATAGCAACCCCGGAGATGCCATTCATCTAGAATACCGGATGTGTGGTATCCAGACAAACAGCATGGAGCTGTTTCGAATCCGCCATGGTCTGAGCAGCAAACTGTTCAATGACCCTATTCCTAATATCGACCTTCACGGTCCTTTCTCAAAATTTTGAGTTCACCGAACTAGGAAGTTTGCCGGGCTCCTGAGACGTCGTGAGCCTAAAAACTTAGTCGGAAAGCGTTCTCGGTAAAGGCGCTGCTGCGGACCGCCGGGGTGTGGGTTATTTGCTCTGCTTGAGAGGGCGATGGGCTAGTAGGAAGATTGAACTTCGTGTCACGCTTACCCCAGTACCTATTTAAGAATATTTTAGATCAGGGATCATTCGATTATAGGGTTATATAATAGAAGGGATAAGGGGAGGAGTGGGCCGGATCTAGGCCACTTCCCCCTCAGAGCCCATTTTCAACCCGGGAAGTCGGGCGAGGTGTTGGTGTTTGGTAGGTAGAGATGGAGCATAGGGGAGGAAGGGGTGCTCTAGATTGCTGTGGAAAAGCGAGGAGCCCAGTTTGCCCTGTGAACAGCTACATAATGACGGTAGTCAAGGGGGGGGCGACAATTTAAGCACCCAAAATCACTCTATTGGATACGGTTCTTCGGATTGCGGCTTTTGAACTAACAATTATATAGAAAGAATAAGTTACAGAAAGGAAACCCATTCCTATTAGACTTGAAATACAACGGTACTCGAATCAGTCACGAAAAGCTCTACCAAGGGGAAGGCAAAGGAGCTAGATGGATGGATGTAATAAAGAGAGCAAGGATAGCAATAGCAACTAAAGCGAAAACTATCCAGACTAAAAGGACACCAAGGCCCTGAACCAAGAACATGATGAAATTCCAAGGGATGTCACTGGTAACATCAATCGATAGTGACGATGTGCTCGGAAGTAATAAGAATAAATTTTCTGGGTTCAAATTTCTTGGCAGCTCGACTACCCAGGAGTAGGCAAATACTACCTGTGAACTGATGGTTGTCTACAATTCAAGCTCCGATAGGGAATATGGAACTAGCCCAGACGATAGGGCGATATTAAATAAGGCAAAGGATAGCGACAAAGATGATACATCGGATGCTGAGCGCGACTTGCGCAGCCCTCATAATGGTGTGGGGGATGAGAATAATGATGAAGAGGGTGAATATAGTGAGGATGAGAGTAGTGATGAGGGGCCCAAGAGGAGGAACCCAAACGTAGAGAGGAGTTACGAGTTACAGAAGCTAGTTACTAGAGAACACATGTAAGGCTCCGCAGATAATCACAAACGGGCTCGCATGGTTTTCTCGAAATGTTATCACAAATATTTCCAATACTGCTAAAGCTGATTCTGAGAAAGGCATACCAGTGAAACAATAGGAGGTGCGGGACTCCTTTTTGGAGCCTCAATCATGTATGGGATATAGAATACTATTTAGATATAGAAAACTTTTGACTGGTTTCTAGGTGTCCATATAAAACCCTGATTTGAAATCAGAACTGGCATGCCAAACACTCCTTAATTTTCTACAAGCTCTTTCGTAGCCTACGCCACCCCCCTGGCCCATACCAGAGACATGTGTGGAGGCAGAAGATACGGCATTGAATCTCTGGAATACCTTGACAGATCTCCGATATCTACTATGTTTACCCTCTGCCCCCAAACCAAAACATGATAATACAGGCTCCTCCAAGCCCTCTTCATTGGCCGAGTTATAACTGCTGGAAGAAAAAGTTCACTGAAACTGCCTCCCAATACCCGACAAAGGATCTATCAACAGATCCTCTTTTTCCCTTGTTATATTACCTGCGGATCTGATCAGCTTTGTTAACCAGGATATCATAGGAATTTCTATAACGGTAGAGGGTAGCTCAACCCAAAGCAAAATCCAGTAACCCTAACTATAACTTACATCACCTTTGAATTTAGTCAGATTTTTTTTTATCATGTCAATGGAAACATGTTAATTCATAGTAACTTCACACGTGCCTCATTCTATTCCCATACATACTATCTCTATTTTCCGAAACTTAAAACCATATTTGGCTTCAGAAAATAACACTGTTCTGAAAATTTCTTTCACCCACTCATCATTCTCTGCCACATTCTCCTCTGGTAACGTGGAGGTTAAGACAAGTAACCTACCTGTGCAGCATAACCCCATGGTGAGGGACAACTACAAACTGTCCAGACCAATTGCTAAACAGGGAGTAACGTGATTCACAGTACAACAGGAAGTGCAGATGTAGGAAATCTGGTGGGTAGTTAGGTCAAACAATATCTACCCAAAAATCTATGGAATGAAAGTATTAAAAAAGAACCCCAGATAAGATATTGATCCTAGAAATAGTGGACTTATATGGTGTCCGATGAGTTGGCCGGCAGAAAAAATGGGCGGGGAGGCAATGTTGAAACATGGCTTCTGACACTACCAGTAACGGATATTGTGGCATCATTCAGACTATTACTTTTTCTCCTTACATCAATTCGTACCCCAGGCACACATCTAGGCCTCCGGTACTATTGAAGATACCTCCTTACATTTCTTGTTACTGTTCGCTCAACCTTATTGTCTCGCTCACAATAGCAGATAGTAAGAGCTGCTCGCTCTTCCTTTCTAGACAATTAAGCATTCATCGTTCTCTATCACAAAATCTTCTTTGCCGTGCAAAACACTCCTCATAGTACTTTCACAATAGGCAATGTGATTCAATGGACGAGTGATATACCATGATCCAGGCTTGGCTAAAGTAGGATATAGAGAAAGAAAAACTCCGCATTTAGGTCCTGTTTAGCAAAGTTTTTTTTTTTCTTTTCTAGGAAAAATAGGTGACATGGCTGGTATGGTTAGAAGGGCCTTGAGCGAAAAAAAGTTGGTATTTTAATATGGATGCCAATCAGGTCTTCATTTATTTCCATTTTTATGTTAGATAAATGCCATGAAAGTGACAAAAAGGCTATTGTTCCTGTGTGCCAAACGAGGCTTTAATAAAAGAAAAAAACATAGGCTGAGGCCAATGTACAACCCGTGCTGTAAGGATGGAAATGAGGCTGTTTTTTAGTTTCTTCCCAAATAGGGATTTCAAATATACATATATTATACTTTACTTTTTATACCATACATACAATACATACCTGTACTAAAATAGGCAACCCTAAATCATAGGCTGGAAAGAGTAATTTTTCTGATTAACCACCCTAACAAGAGGTTTGGTGTAGTGGCTTTTATCAAGTTTTGTGGTGGCATTTGATGTGAGCTTTTGCCTAAAGTGAAATTTTCACTTATATACACCTTCATAAACCCCACCACAAAATGGTAATACCATTGATGAGAACCAGTTACTCAGGATTGACATAAATTTATAACTAGTTTTCTTTTTTTTAACACAAAGTCCAGTTCCACTTTTACATCTCCTGGTGGTCGTTATTATAGAATCCTGGATTATTGTGGAAATAGCTTTCTAGTACCAAATATGATACGTATTTTATAATATTATGCAGTTGAAATACCATATTATACGGTATTATACAAAATTGTATAAATACGAAATCAATCCCTATTCCCAAATATGTTTGAAGTGTGTATTGCGGGGTTTAGTTATTGATAGCTGGATTTCTATAGGCCTGCCGAGGTGACCGGTTTACAGAGCGTTTTATCCAAAAGGGACCTCATCGCTTCAAGCTCCTTCCTTTTGATAGATAACGAATTGAGGACCTTGAGCACATATGGCATATGGATACGTGAGAACAAACACACGCGAGAACCAGGAACGAAAATAACAAACTCATGAGGACGCGAGTGCATAGGCGAGTGCTTGCCAAAGGACTGAGTTACCACCACAGCAGCAACGATAATTGATTTCTGTTCTTCCCTCTGCTTTGCATTTGTCTTTCTTGTGTGAACAGCGGCTAACCATTTTCTTTGTACTTTCCTCCAGACTCCCATATGGTCCTTTCAACTGGGATCCAAAGTATTCCTCGTCCGCCAAGCACAATGTTGACATCACGGCCTATGATTCAGCAATCATCACAAGCGGCGGCAAGACCATATTTTGGTTGTTGAGCACCACATCATACCAGAAGGATAACTACAGAGGTTTGGCCAATAGGTTATAGCTGCCATCCTGGATTGATCCCTCTCCACTCGAGTATCACGGAGAGGGTTGGAGTTGGTCGGCTGAAATTGGCCCCAGGGGCTAAGTATTTACGAATTTACGAATAATCACTTGTGATGCTGATTTGATAAGACAAGATAACTGGTCCTTCGCACAAACTGTTTTCTAGAAATGTTCGAGCCTCACCTCACTCCAGCCGTGGGTGTCAACCTTACCACGGACACCAACCACTCCCCAAACTCTGACAACCCTTTCCCTACTGACCCATGAGAAGAGAAGGGATTACAACAGTTGAGAAACTCCAAACGCCCCCTGACCCCCTTGTTTCGCCGTACAGCAGTAGTGATAGACACGATCATGATCGAGCAGATCATAGGTGTTCTGCTCGAGCATAGTCTGATTGAGAGAACCCCATGATCAAATGATCAAGCAAACCGGGAGACCCTGATCGAGTGATTGAGCAGTGATTGAGCATACTTGAGTAGCTGATTATCATTTCCTTTTTCATGTAAAAATATTGCCTCCAACAGCAGGTGCTCTGATAGAACACTTTGCAAGAGTGTTAGTCAAAAGGCTATCCAGGGGCCATTGACACAATATTTGGTAGCCGTTGTCGGCGGAATTTCAACTACTCGATAATATCTATATTCCGGTCTACCCTTGGCTCTTGGAAGTAGATACCAACCCGGGATTTTATAAGATCATTGTCTAAAGCAAGGGCATTTTAGACAAGTGAATTGGTCATGCATGTTGGGGGTTCGGTGGTGAAGTGCATTATCAGGGACATTATATTGAGTGTGTGGTACAGACAATGATCATATTAATAGATATCACGTCATTTCCAGGACAGATATATGTATAGGTATTGATAGAGTCATCGATCATGATCAATCATGATCGAACATGGTCGAGCAGTACCCCTACTCGAGCAACTCGAGCAGATCATGAGGGTCCCGCTGGATCATCATCTGATCAAGTGACCCTTGTGATCGAGGGTGATCGAGCATAACCTGCTCGAGCAAAACTCGGTCATGATCTGATCGTGGCCATCACTACACAGCAGCTGCAAAAACTGCTCCAACAAAACCTCCTGCAATGGCACCGAACATCAACTACCCACCAGAAATGGGAGAATTCGAAGATAATTACCAAGAGAAATGGGAGGAAGATGAAGAGGTTCTTGAGGCAGGCTACGGAGACAACCGAGAAGGTGGTGCATGATCGGTGGGAAGGGGGGAGGGAGGGGGGGTGGCTTGGAAACGGACAAATTAGTGTACGCGCGTTGGCTGAGGGTACTAGATATCGATGAAATACTAGAGCCGGACCTGGTAGTGTATCATATGCTGGATACTATGTAGCAGTGTTCGTCCTCCCCTCTCTACCGCTCCCCTTTCCAATCCATTGCTAAGAATCAAACAGCGAAAGCAGACAAAGATGAATACGGCGCCGCCTCCGATGCATAGGAGGACCCGATCGTCGAATCTCACTGCTTCCAATGTCCCACCAGAACAAACCTTATCCATGCCTCTCCACATACCCAGCATGCTGCATCAATTCCTGAAACTGGTGATGTGTATATCTGGGATTTATCGCAGCGCTATAAGTCTCTAGAGAGCCCCAGTGCCACCATACCCATGAGTGCAAACAACCCTACTGCGACGCCCAGGGTGGGCAGGCATGACGAAGGCCACTCGGTTGATTGACCAAACCCACCAGATGTCATGGGGTGGATAGCTACTGGGGATACTTCCCGCCAGATCTTTCTCTTTTTAAGAAAGCAAGGCAGTACTTGGGCCATGGATTATGGCCCGCCGAAGGGGCATACAGGGAGTATCGAAGACCTCCTGCAGTTTCCTGATGAGCTCCACCTCTTTGCCTCTGCATATTCCGATGGAACAGTCGAGATCTATAATACCTATGACAAGGCCATGGGGTGCCAATTGTCGGTCGACTTTTAACCCCCAGATGTCAGCATCACATCCAGTGTCGGAAGGTACACTATCTCTTTGCCACCAGAGCCGCCGACTATGCAGTCTAGGGCATCTTAGATCTTAGAACCTTCCCTAACAAGCTCCACGGTGAACATGTATCTGCTCTGTGAACTTCACTTTCCACTAGCAGCCAATCACGAGTATTAACTTTTACCCTAGTGATGATAGTATTGTTGCCGTTACGTCAGCGGACTCAACAATAATGCCCTGTGACTTGAGTGCCGAGTTGGATGACGATGATAGTAAGGATGCTGGTGCTGTGGATGGTATTCCACCCAGATATTGTTTGTCTACTATCGCAAGGATATTGGGAAACTCCATCGGCAGTGGCAAGTGCTAGAGGTGGTTTTCAGGACCAAGGGTCAAGGGTTTAGGTACTTTGTCCTCCATATAAATCCTCAATTGGTGTGATTGTGCATTGGCTGACCGGTCATCTCTCCTAGGGTAGTGTTTTCAAGACTATCAGAGTCTAAGGCCCTGTTTGGCTCGCGCATTTCGTAAGGCATTTCCTTATAGAATGCATTTCGTAAGGTTTCATAAGATGCATTTTATAAGGTCATAAAAGCTCATTTTGTAAGGGGAGTTTTGCCAAACACTCCTATGGACTTTTGTAAGATTAGAATAAATAAATGCATTTTAAGTTTAGACCCTGAACATAGTGAAAAATATTTAGAAGAAAAAAAAACCTAACTTACATGTATTTGATATGTTATTGGTATAAACCCTATAGTAGCTACCTTACAAAATGCATTTTGTGAGGGTTTCAAATTCAGCTATTCAAGTACTATGTTGCCAAACAGCCAAGCCTTACAGAATACATTTTGTGAGGGAATACCTTACAAAATGCATTCTATAAGGAAATACCTTGAAAATACGGGAGCCAAACAGTGCCTTAGCTTGACAATATGAGTACTCCTTAGAACTCTAGTCATCTCTGATATTTGAGCTAATGTCATTTTGTAAGGTCTGTCCAGCATTGAATATCCTACTAGTAGGACCTGACCTTACTTGTTCAAAGAAGTTGTTGCACTATATGTTGCTGGCATTTTTGAACTATATTGAAAGAATCATGCTAGGAAGTACATTATACTTCTACATCTATAAGTAAGTATAATAGAGAGAGGTCTGAGGGCTCGGGTAGCCCAAGGCATAGCACTATTGAATGGTATTGTCACAAACCGTGACTAAGCAAGGCAGATTTCACATAGCTCAGAATTCCGAGTTCTAGGTATGTTAGGATTTTACATGACGCACACTAGTGTACCATAGGATATTATGTTTACCTGTTCGTAACTCACAGTTGTGAGTCATATGATGTTATGATTTCGCACATGACTCATACTGATGAGTCATGGGTTTCACTCAGGTGACGCGAGTTATGCACCTGATTTAGTTATCATGTTTTGAAGTGGTTTAGGCATGTTGCGCAGTGACTCACAGGAGTCGGCTGATGGATTTCGTATGACTCATGGTTATGAGTCACAGGGTTCGCGTGACGCAAGGTATGAGTCATGCCAGGTGAAGAGCTACTATATAAAGGGGTCACTAGGACACCGAGTATTAGCTCTTCACACGTTCTTCTTGTTTATTTCCTACCTTTAAGTTATTATCAATGAAACCTACTTTTACGCTCTTTAAGATTTATCTTAAGAAACCCAAGAAGTGTCTTTCCTCTCATGAGAAGAGACTAAGTCCTAAGCAAGGACTGAGGAGAAGAATAAGGAGATAGGCGCAAGTACGATAGTAGTCAAAGGACTAGACTATCGGGTTCGCGTAGGCATAGGCCTGAGAGCTATCACCTTACAGAGAAGTATCGTTACCTGTTGCTAGGTCCTACCCGGTAGGATTCTTAACATTAGAACGTGTCTACAATGCAACACTTAACGATCACACCACGGATCCTTTCAACAGAGATCACGAGGGAGACATAGACGTCCAAGACAACAGTCTAGGACTAGGAGGATTGGAAGAAGTGCTTAGCGAAGCAAGCTGACACTCAGCAAGATCAACAAGTCCCGTCACACCAGAACCAATCACTCCACCTTTACCAGAAGAAACTCCAGACACACCAAGACCTGAAAGCATGTCAGGACCTGCACCGCCACCAGGACCCCCACCAGCGGGGCCAGCACTGTTCACAAGAGAAGAAGTGCAACAGATGATACGAGAGGAATACCGAAGCAGAGATCAGAAGCCAAAAGTCAAAACACCACCCAGATACGATGGGGAAAGAAGCAAACTACAAGGATTTATAGTCCAACTCCTCACATACTTGAATGCAGTAGGATGGAACCAAGAACACGATGACGACAAAATACGCTATACCTTGACACTACTTGAAGGAGCAGCCCTGCAGTGGGTTACTCCTATAGTGCTCAGTCAGACACCCGTACCATGGACAACCTGGGACAGCTTCAAAATCATATTTGAAGCCCAGTTCATGAATATGGAACTAAGCCAATCGGTGCGGAACAAATTGGAAGACATCAGACAAGGAACAAAGAATGTCACCGATTATTGGTACGAGTTTAGACTTCTCTAGTATGATGCCGAATGCGACGAAGCAACAGCAATGAGGTGGTTCATGAAAGGCCTGAAGAGAACCTATCAAGAAGCATGGAGATATAGCGAGGAAAAATTCACAACTACGGAAGCCATGGCCAACTGGGCCATTCGAAAAGAAATTCAATTTGGGCAACTAGACTGGATACAAAAAACTCAACCAGCCTCAACCCAGTCTAACCAAACATACACTAGAAACCAAAACAGTGCTAGGAACCAGAATGGGACCTATAGAACCACCACACAAGGAGGCGATGCAATGGACTTGGACGCAACAAGGAAAAGACCGTCGCTCAACCTCGGAAGGGATGAATACCTTAGGAGACGAAACAACAACCTGTGCCTAAGATGCGGAATAGCAGGGTACATGATTAAGGATTGCAGACGGCCGGCCAACCCAAGTCAAGGAAGAGGCCAACAGAATACCAGGCCAAACACCAGAGTACAACCCCGCAGCAATATCAGGGAAATCGATATCGAAGACGAATACGAAACGGTGGCAAAAGACGAAGGTCCCCAGCAATAGATGGTCTGCGGGACCCTCTGAAAGACAAACCCATCTCAAAGGCCAACTACTACACTCTTTTAAGTGAGAAAAACAACAACGACAATGATCATATCATGATCGAAACCACATTACACGACGATAAAAAACAAGCAATCAGGATACATGCGATGCTCGACTCAGGAGCAATGGAAGACTTCATAGACGAAGAAGTCTGCAAGGAATACCAGTTCAGGACCAAGAAAACAAAGAAAGAAAGGCAGATTTACCTCGCAGATGGGAAACCCAGCGATATGGAGCCAATTACCCATACAACGCAAGTACCTATGAACATTGGGAATCATAGAGAAGTGGCGACCTTCCAAGTAGCGAACCTGCAACACTATGAGATAATCCTAGGGATGCCATGGTTACGACAACACAACCCTACCATCAGTTGGGAAGAAGGAAAGGTTGCATTTACCAGCGAACTGTTACACATGGAAGCGTAATCGGTGCGGCATGTCACTAAATGCATAAGGTCACGTGTTCGACTCCGGGCCCCGCCACAGTATTCGTAGCGCTAAGATATTAGCGCATGATATGATAAGGCATCTATGCAGCCAGCTCCGCGGAGATACGAGGCATGCAACCGAGGGGTTTTCGCTGGATAACATAGAAGGAGCTCCGCTCTACAAGATAAGAC